CTTCAGTTACAAAGATGATCCAATTGGGTTCAATAATCCTCCCCTTTCTCCCCCCAAAATATGCCTATGGTTGTGATCTACTCTTAAGACTTAGAGACCTGTTTTTGAAATGAATATTCACAATTTTCTCCAGGTCTCCAAAGCCCTGTATATTGGGTATGATCAAGGACTGGGTCTAACTTCCAAGATTTCAAAAAGAATTGAAATCCAAATGAGAAAGTTAACTAGTAACTTATTCTAATAATTCTCTTCCTCATATAAAAGATGAGGTAAAACTCAAATCTATATATTTTATCACCTATTGGCAGATCTGGAAAATATCTGATAAAAGATGAAAATAAGACTGTTTTGGGCCGGCCCGGTGGCGCACTGCTATAGTGCGCTGCTTGNAAAGACAAAAAAGGAAAAAAAAAAGTAAGACTGTTTTGCCAACTCATTTTTTGGAATACTTATATGTAGCTTTTACTCTCTCCCTGTCCAACAGCATCAGGAAATACTAACAAAAAACTACTTCACATTTAAAAACAAAATATTTTTAGAATGTCACCCAGGTAATTGAGCTTCTATCAAAATCTGGACTCAAATGAAATTGGCTACAAAATGAATGTAAAATTAGGTCAACTTACTGTATTGAATCTTTCCAGAAAACTGTCATCTCCAAGCAAGACATAGGCTTTCAATAGATATTCGTAATATGAATCAATCCCTGCTCCAACTCCACTATCTATGGAAAATACATAGAGATGTGATTCTTTATTAAGCAAGTCTTAAAGATTCTTTACAGAGTACGAATGGGGGTACTAGTACACCAAGAATGAAAAATTACTCTAAATATGAAACTGCTTAAAGTAAAAATTATACATTTACAGAAATATTAATCCTACTATATAATAACTGTAGTTCCCCTGGTGATAACGGTTTGTGATTAAGAAAAAAAATCTTACTTTGGAAATCTGGTTACAAAAAGACGTATTCAAAGCAGACAATACTAGTTNTAATGGTACATTTCTAGAAAGCCAAAAAGTACGCTATTAAAATCTTGTCATATCAAGGTAGCAGAAATATTTATTACTAATATAATGTCTAAAAACCAGGAAGAGTTAATTCTCAGCATGAGAAAGAATTGGCATTCTCCAAATTTCCAGGAGCATCTGTGACCAGAAAAAGTATATTTAATGTGTACAGTTTTTATAAAACAAGATTCAGAAAATAAAAAGTGATAAGATCTCCCTAGCTAGTGGGTATATATAAAAGTTAGAGTGAGACAATATTTGCAATGGCATGGGTTAGAAAAGGTTGAGAAACACTAAG